ACATTATAAGTTGGTTTGTTGACTTCAAATTTATTCTGAGTATTAAGTTGGTTATTAAGTCACATGACTTTAGCTGATCAGGACATGTACTGGTAAATTTACATGAGTTCAGAGGAATCCAGTGGAATTCCTGCAGATTCCTCTGGATTCCTCTGGAATTCCACTGGAATGACTGAATTCCTGCAGGAATAGGTGGGGCACTGTAAAGTACTGCAAATTCCGCCAGAATGGTAAGGCACCGGAATTGTGAAAATAGCAGGCCTCCCTGCCAAATTTCATTCCTCTGGAATCCACCAGAATCCGCAGGAATGACCGGATTCCTGCAGGAATGACCGGATTCCTGCAGGAATTAGGGGGGCACTGATAAGACCTCCCAATGACCTAGTAGTGACCCAAGACAGCCAGCGATAAAATACCTTAGATATATTCTAAATACCATAGATATATTTCAAATACCTTAAGAACTTTTTGTGTATGTTTTACACATATCTTGATGGCAATCTACATATTCTTGATGTTATTGTGAGACCTTGAGGCAAACAAACAAACAAATGACTAAATGAATGAACTTGTCAGATGAAAACCTACCTTAAATATGTTTCAAATAACTTAGAGATATCTCATGTATCTTTTACGCATAACTTAGGGACACAGACTGTGAGCTGCGCAAAGAAATAATGACTAATGACATGATGGGTATTGCTACGGGTACCTGCCAACCCCTGCCACAGGTACGGGTTTGGCAAGGGTAGCGAATGTCAAGTCCATACCCCTACCCACACGTACCCTTACCCACAACCTGCATGGGTTCTGAAACCCATGACAATCACTATCCATCTTGGCCCATTCCTCACAGATCATGTTCCAAAGGGATGCTTTGCTTGTACATAGAGCTCCTCTGAATATGCCTGACATTTGAATGGATAATGGATAACTGTCTCCATGATCAGCAGCTGCCCTATACCCCAACACAACTCACATCTTCTGGTGTTTGACTTCTCAATGTGGAAAAGATAGTTGTTGAGTGATATATATTCTGTTCAGAGTTGCATTAGCAGACTTGTTTGTGACCTCAAGAGTATGTCATTGATCTTTGGGAACTTGCTGGATAAGTCTGTGTTGACATGTTAAAATCTTGCATAGTGTAGTGAAACCTTTCACATTTAACCATTGAGCCTTCTGCACTTCTGTGAAAACTTATTGACTGCTGTAGCACTAATTGGTAGGTGCTTCCAGAGCATCAGTGGTGACTCCTCTGGTAGGCCTTATTTCAATCTGCACAGTGGTTGCTGGCCATAGATTGGTGGTACAGGCATCACTTTCAAAGGTGTAGTGTTACATAGCCATTTAAACAGTTAAGCTTTGCTAAAGTGTGGAGGTTGTGAACCTGTCCTGTTTCTATTGAGTGTGATGATATTTAAGGTGTGGTTAATTGCATTCAACCACACTGATACAGTAGAAAATAACTGTTACACTGAATACATTTATACAAAGTTCAGCTAGCAATTTTGAGTCTTTGTTGTTGAGATGTCTACTGTTTTGTTTATGAAATTAAGTGGGTGTAGGTCCAACAGTGTATTGTCAGAGCCCCTTTCAAAACAGACAAAAATGATTTTTCATTCACTCTGGATGCAGGCCACATTAACTTGAATCAACTACTGTAATGAAATTGTCAATAAATTTCAGTAACAATGTCTGAGAAATTGTAGATATTTCTTTAATAAGAAGTTGTAAAAAAAATTGTGATATTTCAATAGGAATATCACAATTTTTTTACAACTTCTCTACATTAAGTTGGTCAAAGGTAACATAGCTTGCATCTGGTAATCAACAGCATATCAAGACACAAGCACAAGATATAATATCAGTGAAACAGAAACAAATCACTATAGAAGGCGGATTAAGTACTAGTTCCTGTGAAGTCATCATCAAAATCTTTCCCTTTATGGAACAAATATGAAATTTTGGTTTTAAATTTTGAAACTCTCTTTGCAAGTTTCGAAAGAGAATGGACTGAGGATAAAGACATCAAAGGGGGTTCAAACAACAATTACCAAAAAACATACCTTGTTTCTCAGGATTATCCAGAAGACCTGCTTGAACTGGATGATTCAAAACAACCTGCATTGAATGCAAGTTTTGTTCACCATGACTTATGGTGCCTGCCTCAACAACTTGAACCCCCTGTGCTTCTTGGACATTGGCTGTGGTAGAAATTGTATGAGATTCTGCTTCAGGAACTCTGTTCTTTAATTTATGAGCTTGGTTCTCTAGCTTCTGTGCCTCTGTGTATTTTCCCAACTTTCGATATGTTGCTGCTAGATTTGCCATTGCTCTGATTGTATCTGGGTGTTCAACTCCAAGAATTCTGTTCCTTGCATCCAGAACTTGCATCTCCAGCTTCTCTGCCTCTGTGTATTTTCCCAAGTTTCGATATGTTGCTGCTAGATTTCCCATGGCTCTGATTGTTTCTGGGTGTTCCACTCCAAGAATTCTGTTTCTTGCATCCAGAACTTGCATCTTCAGCTTCTCTGCCTCTGTATGGTTTCCCAAGTTTCGATATGTTGCTGCTAGATTTGCCATGGCACTGATTGTATCTGGGTGTTCCACTCCAAGAATTCTGTTCCTTGCATCCAGAACTTGCATCTCCAGCTTCTCTGCCTCTGTGTATTTTCCCAAGTTTCGATATGTTGATGCTAGATTTCCCATGGCTCTGATTGTTTCTGGGTGTTCCACTCCAAGAATTCTGTTCCTTGCATCCAGAACTTGCATCTCCAGCTTCTCTGCCTCTGTATGGTTTCCCAAGTTTCGATATGTTGCTGCTAGATTTGCCATGGCATTGATTGTATCTGGGTGTTCAACTCCAAGAATTCTGTTCCTTGCATCCAGAACTTGCATCTCCAGCTTCTCTGCCTCTGTGTATTTTCCCAAGTTTCGATATGTTGATGCTAGATTTCCCATGGCTCTGATTGTTTCTGGGTGTTCTACTCCAAGAATTTCATTCCTTGTATCCAGAACTTTAATGCGCAAGATTTCTGCTTCTTTTGTGTATCCTTGGTTTTGCAAGAGACCTCCATATTTGGCATAAGCATCATCTATGTAACTGATACCCTTCTGATCACTTCCTGATCTGGAATACCCCATATTTGCTCTTACATGTGTTACCAGGACTCTGTGAAATCTGTATGGTTGGCTTTCATGCCATCTTAGTGAACAAGATAACATAACATATGCCATTAAGCAACATCTTTCCCTCTCATCCAATGTCATTCTGTCCCTTCCCCATGCATGCACCAGCGGATGCATAGCATACACACCATCAGATGGGGTCTTCTTGATTAAGGAGAAGAACAACAACATCCGAATGCCCTCTCGAAAAAGTAAATTATCCCAAGTACCTGCCTTGTTCAAATGAAGTAGTCTCCGATCCAGCATAGAACTGGCAAGTGGTAATTCAGGGTGAGAGGCTGTTTCCTTTTTTAGAAGAGCAGCAGAAGAAAATATTTCCTCAGTAATTCCCTCATGATGGAAGAAAGGAAATAATTCCAAAAGGAGCATTGCACTATTGGCTGCATTGGCCTTATGAGAATCATCAGATTTAGCCCTTTGTTGAATTTCTTTGTATGATAGCTCCCAAGTTCCATAAACAGTTCTGTTATACTTAGAAGCTCCAGTAAATTCAGGATGGGATAATAATGTTTTACGATGCTCAAAATATTTTGCAAGATAGTTTTCAATAGTGGTGGCTCCAGAAGCAATGTATGCACCAGCTTGATCAATAGCAAGCGGAAGGTATGAGAGCTCCTTTACAATCTTACAAGCTTCAGTTTGAGACTCCATTGAACATAGATCCAAGAAACTGGCTTTCAGAAGTAACTCAATAGAATCATTTTCTTCCATCTCAGTTACTTCAAGAGAATTCTCAGGTGAAGTCAGATTCCTCATAGTGGCATTGCGACTGGTTATTAGAATGTTTCCCCCCCTTCCAGGTGGAAGATAAGCCTCCAGCTCAGCAGGTGATAGAACATCAGCATTGTCAAAGACCATCACATAGTTCTCTTTCAGCAAGCCAATCCAGTGAAGAGCAGATTTAGATGAGCCATCCAGTCCACTAGACTGGGCTGCAGGAAGATTACAGATACCCTTGAGTGCCTGAGTGATGGTGCCAACTGAGGAAGCATCAATCCAGAAGACAAAAGAGAAACTGAAGGCAATTGAAATTTCATAAGTAAGGGTTAGATCTGCCTTTTGGTGATACTCACAAGTCAGACATTTCCTCAAGAAACTTCAAGCAAATTTGAGTCTTTCCAATACCCCCCATTCCATACAACAAAAAGGACATTCTCTTCCAAGCTGGGTGATCTGCATTGCAAAAATACCCCTTGAGTTTGGCGATGTATTCAGTCCGACCTGTGAACCGATTGCTCGGATTTGGCATAAGGGGAATAACCCCATCGGACGTCGTCCTATTGCCATAATTGTGGTGGATGTTGATCTTCAAGAGACCGAGCGTTATCATGGCCTGATGGATACCTTTGGTAAACATTCCACTCACGTCATTGAATGTGTTGTTAGTAGCAATAAAGTTGTGAGCGCCCGCAAAACTCATGTTGAGATACCAAAGGTGAGAGGTTCAGGATGAGGGAAGGAAAGAAAGGAGAGCGCCCAGAGGCTAGGAGATCCTCAATCACGCCACGAGGTGAACGCGTGTTTTGGTCTGTTTTTGTACCTTAAGCACAGCTTTTCCAACTCTTCGTTTGCCCATCTAGTCTGGCCCTATTTCGAGGTAAGTGAGTTCCCCTTCGTTTGAACATCTGTGTTGATACCTGTAAACTCTTTTCCAGGACGGAGGTGCTGCGCGGTAGCTCAGCGGGTCGTGTTTAAGTGCCGATATATCTGCTTCGTCCAGTCCTCGTATTGGCCGTGAAGTTGGCTAGAACGTCAAGTGAGTTCCTATTCTAAACCGGTGGTAGCGATTGACTGTTTACACAGTTGGCTCTATGGAAATCCAGTGCACACCCACGTTTTCCGACCTCGTCCTTAAACCGACCGTCAATGAAAAACCAACCCTTCTCCCCAATCCTTTGTGCCCCAACCATTTTCGGCAGCGGCAACACGCCACCTCCCAATCTCAACTTCGCCTCTACTACCCATCCTCGGCTGTTGAGGGGCCCCGCTACCTTTTTGACCCTTTCGCGGTCTTCCGCGATTATGTCGATCACCCGAACGCCATTCAGATGCCACGTGTGCCTAGTCTCCTCGCTCCAGTGCGTTGTAAAAGCGACGGAGCGGGGATCTTGAAAAGACGAGGTTCTCGTCACCTCTCAATGTCCACGAGCGGATATCGTAGACAAGATTCAGACGACTCTTCTTCAGTGTGGAGTGACTGTTAAGCTGCAAGGTTGAACGCTGAACGTTCATGGTACCCCGATCGCTCACCTGATTTTTCTTCGATGTTGCCTCTCCCGAAACTCAGGCCACGGCAAACTCGCCCCCCCTTCCTTGTGGTGGGGAAGATTCGATTTCTTCGCTCGCATCGGCGCCTTTAAAATAAGGAGCTTGAAGTCTACCGAGCGGTAGAAAGGATCCCGTTGAAGTCGTACTCGTTGAACTGGCTCCCGATAGTCAATACCATTGTGGAGGAAGGGGGAATCGGCGCTATTGAATGAGAGAAAGGAAAAGAGAGGCAAGGGCTGGTCGAGTCGGATACGATACGACACAGCGTCCTGAATGGATGGGAGCAACTCGATGGGTTTCTGGAACAAGATTGAGGGGGAGGGGAGTGTCCAGAGGTTGGCTGAGCTGGTGTGGTGAGGTAGTGCTGTCGCAGAGGAGCGATAGAAGACCACCATGGGGGATGCGAGTCCGGAGCTGGTGGGGGGGTATAGGTGAATGGATGAATAGACGGAACGAGCGAGAGAGCGGTGAAGTCGGCAGTGTGTTATGTGGTGGATGACCCACTACTACTGAGGATGTGCACGTAGTGAATTTGCTTCCCAAGCAAGCTTGTTCTCAACGACCACAACGTCGCCGGCCTTACTGCCTTTTTGCATCACTCATGGTCTCATTCTCTACTGCTCTTGTGATGTTTCAAGTAGGAGAATGATTTCTGGATTGAATGGTACGTCCAGCTCTCACTGCCATATCTTGCCATTGACTTTACTGAGATCTTTCGGATTAGGACACAGCACTAATGGCATTCTGCACCCAGCATTCCGCAACATTCTCAGTCGTCCCGAGCTTAGGGGATCCAATACCCCACTACCTACGTACTGTCATAAAACTGCGGTTTCATAATCTAGCCCAGCTATGTTCCCACCACCCACCCAAGAACGACGCCGTACTTGTCTTCAAACTATCCTGCACGGCTTACGGCATACGGTCATCACAGGAACGTTAACGTTGATGCCTCCTTTCATGATTGCTGTTTGAGGTACTGGCTTTTCTGGGGCTTCACAGACACGGGGTGATTCACCAACGGTTGATGGATTGGGAGTGATTCACGACGAGCGAGAAGGTGAGTACAACGGTTCCCGCTGTCATGAAAGACTATTGACGCAATTGCAGCAGTCCTCAGATATCACACTTCTCTCCGAGGTTTGACAGGAAATGACGCAGTGTAAGCGGTGAAACTTCATGCTCTATTCGAGGCCAATGCCGCCTAAATCACGTATGCTACGCACACCCTCATCCATTCTTCCCATCTTATGTGACTGTTAGCGTTTAGACGTGTTCTGGTCCAACTTCGGCTTTAGCGAATACGTGAACGTTGTCTATGAAATGGAGACATCAACAGGTGGAATCTCAATGTATTCGATTTTCAAGGTTTGTAAAATTTAAGGACACCAATCTCTTTCTTTTCGCCTCTTATCTCCTCTCGTTTCCGTCAGATTCAGCCGACGTCGTAAGTACATCCAAGAGCACAAGAACCACTCCAACCGAATTCAAGCCAAGGATTAGCGTCGATTTTGATTCTTTTGGCTATTCTGCGGTTCCAGCCCATATCATCCCCTCCAATCAACCCAACTACGGGCTACATCCATCCGCGATACACTCGTGCACACCACCCTCCTCTGCAGTGACGCCCCGCATCTCACCTTCTGACCTGTCTGGCCAACATCGATGATTAGGATAGCCTTCGGATACCGCCGCGTATGCGCAGCCGCGAAGACTGAGGAGGGTCCACGTTGGACAGGACCAGGTCTACGTCGATCGCCATGTTTGCGAATGACGCCACCATATGTACATACGCTGCTCAAGCCCGTTCGACGTATTCTCTTCCCCTCCAAGCACTAGAATCCGAAGACCTAACGTTTGCTTCCGGGCTCGGCTCAATAGCCTTCTCGGAAGAACGTTGAACCCTCGAATGATCGAAAGACTTGAGATCAAGCAAGCGCAATGGAGGACGATCAATGGGGAGTCGATGCCGTGTTACGAAGGACGGTTGGTTGAACCCCGTGTCAAGGGGCAGTTGATCAAACCTGGGAAGTCGAACGGCTGAAGGTGATGCATCTGGGAGATGTCATCTATCGAGGAGAGGTTTGGGAGTGCGTGGGGTGACACCTTCCCTAGTCTGGAGAGGGTGTCTGCTGGCGTTTCTTGCGTGGTCTACCGAAGAGACCTGGTGACTCGGATGGATTGGGGAAGGACGTCCAAGTGAGCCATGTAGCGATTGAGGAGAATGAGCCGAAAGAGAGTCATGTTGGCAATGTATCTAGAATAGAACTGAACTAGAGATGTATACGCGAAGTTTACGAATAAATGATTTTTATGTTATACGTTGTATTTTGAAGACACTTGTGAATCTGATTGGGAGTGACATCAGTCAAACTTGATCTCAACCACCGCAAGTTCGTCGGCCTTGTGCGCTCGTCGGCCTTGTGCGCTCGTCGGCCTTGTGCGCTCGTCGGCCTTGTGCGCTCGTCGGCCTTGTGCGCTCGTCTGCCACTGCTGTCTCAGCGTAGCTTTAACCTGAGGCTATTCTTCCTGGAATAAAGGTATGCCTAGCTGTTATTCTCACACCCTAATCCACCTCACCTCGCTCAGCGCTACCCCAACGGCTTACGATTGGCTTACGAGCTCAAAAAATTGTTACTACATACCGACGCACATAAAAGGAATGGAGGGTTCTCGGCCGCCAGGCATTAGACCCTACTGCACGAATTACGCCCTTCGAACTGGCCTTACGCATCATCCTGTCGAATGGCTTTTCTCGTACAGTAACCGCAGGCGACCCATTCCCAAATCCATGATCGACGTGGCCGATATCAGGGTTGGGTGAAGTTCAAACCAACATCAAGCGGAAGAGGTATTAGTACGACAAGTGAGGTGGTGAGTACGAGAATTGTTCTGTCGTGCGATATTCTTGACAAGGCTGCAGCAGCTTTCTGGGGTGTCGTTTCCTTTGAAAGTTTGGGCGATGATGGGCTGCATGCAGTGCCCCGATCTCCTCACGTTCTACTCAAACCGGTGCCGCATACACTCCAAATTTCTCGTTTTTAGCCAACGTAGTGGCCAACAAGGTCCCAATTATGCGAGTTGATACTGTGCCACGATGTCTGGCCGATACAATCCCCCCAACGCGTTTACGCTCCCGCCGGAGACTCGTTAAAAGTGGAGTGGGTTTAGACAGAGGCGTCTGGCGGGGATTTGAGGGGTACGTGTCGTTTTCTTATTCTAACGGCCGTGATTCTGATGTTGCGTAGAGGTTTTCACGAAAGCTATGAGCTCAAAGGGTGAATCAGGAAGAATCACACGCGTACAAAAACTCCACTCCGCTGCTGAAGTGTGCCCATTAGGCCGTTGGTAGTCGGTTTTGATGATTCAGACGCCCCACCCTTGTCTGTCGGTTCCGCCGCTACGGATGCCTGAGACTTGCCCCGAGCAAGCAAATCAGATGCGCCCTTCCTGACGGCCTCGAGCAACGGCGTGACATATCGCGGACTTCCTTGCTGATGCGACTGACCTTCTGCTGAAGGGGAAGGTCCTGCTGGTTGATGATCTTCGCCAGTTCATTCACCGTTGATGTGAGGGATGTCGCGAGGCCGCTATACTTCTGTTGAATCCGAGGTTAGATGGCGTGGAGCTGTGAGGCAGAAGATTGTAAAGCGATTCGGAAACTCGAAGCGAATGAGGCGGTTGACGGCTGCAGTTTTTGCAGTTCAGAAACCATGTTGTCGGACTAGAGGATGTCTCGTCAGACCCGGGTCATAACAACACTGGCGCCACATACATAGAGAGATACCCTGCAACCCATCTCCCCACTGAGGAATCGTCGGTGTTGTCGTTGTTCAGCCGCCGTCACTGGGATTCCAAGGGTCCTTTCAACCTCGAAACACCCGTGGTTCAAACCGAGCCTCCGAACCTCCCTCATCAAAGAAGTTTTCATCACGAGTCACCAATGTTTTATCTCTGCATCGTTCAGCTACTGTCACCTGGACATCCCTACCTGACCTCCCGCTGCTGCCCGCAATGGAAACGCAATCTAAAGGCCACCTTTGTCAACGGTCACTCGAATTGGAAGCTGTTGAGATTCAAAGGCGAAAAGTTATCGCGCGGGCTCTCGGCTTCATTGCAAGAATATCTGAGTGCATCGCTTCTGAGTGAGTTCCTCCTTCCATTGCATTCTTTCTACCTTACCTTGTTATCCCCGTCTGTGCTGCAACAAAACTTGCAGCAGTTTCCCCTTGTATGCTCCAGTCTCGATCTCTCTCCGTTATACTGATTATCTCCTCCCAGTTCTGATCTTGGTAACGTCGTTCACGAGCCTCGTGCTGCTGCAGCCATCAAGACCCCCAACCCCAAATGAACCACTGGTTTCCAGTGGTACGACAATTAGAGACTTGAAATTGCGACGTTCACTGGATGGTTACATTGCCAACAGCCTTGCGATCACAGCCTTTCGTTGCCCAACCTTTTTGCTCTGCCCCCTATCTGCACAACCAGACTCAGCTACTCGCTCGTAACCACTCTGCATATGAATAGAAGATACTCCACTATTGTAAGTTGACAGTCAGTTTTCTCCAGCCGTAGTCGACAGCGCCAGCCCTAAACGTCATTTCCATTGCAGTGACCTGGCTGGCGTCCTTAAACATGCCCAGCTCGACGACGCCAATACGCTCTCAACAAGCCGCGGTAGACCATGGTCGTCCCCCTGGTTCACGTTATGCAGAAGGAATTCGAAGTGACGCCAGCTCGAGCTGGAGAGCTGGGAAGAGGGGAAAATGGACGTTTTTGACTTCTTGAGTTAGTTACCCCCTCCTTTGTGCTTTTCTCCCTGCTTTGACTTCCGAATCCCCTTATCCATTTGACCTTTTGCGCTCGGCTGACCGCCTTCGTCTGTTACCCTGGTTCTGATTCCACAACATTGGCAATCCTCAACTCTCCCGACTTCCATGATGGTATCGCCTTTCGCGTCCACCATTTGGATACCTTCGTGCATCGGCCCCCGAAGAGGATATCGCTATGGTGGAATCCACCCAGTTAATGCGCCTCTACGGAGCTCGTGGATCCAGCATCACGTCTTCGCCAGCAGCCACGGGAAGTCCCTCACATAGAGCAATTCGGACACTGTCGTCCGCCTGATCATAAGCGCAAGGTTGAGTCGCAGAGCTGGATAGTGGGGATAATCCGGTCCTTGCATTACTTACTCATTCGGTATACCATTCTCCCTTTCTCTTCTGAATTCCTCATCACCTTGCATCTATCTGGTCTTTTGCCTGGCTGACTGACCTTCTTCGTTACTTAGGTTCTAGTATCACAACACCAGTGCAATCTCCAGCTAGTTATCGCACCGTCTTTCGCCCACCACCATGATTCGCACAACTTGGCCACTTGCACTCCTTCGTGCGTCAGGTACAACAAGTACCAAGCTCGTGAATTCGGTCTTCGCCAGCTCACATATATCGATCGTCTGATAGGGTGCGCCCAGCGTGTGGTTGTTTGGCTACTATCCTCTTCCACCGAAGCTCAGAGCTGCTCGATAACCTTCTCGTCGACGACCCACTGCGGTCCTTGGCGATCTCGAGTTAAACAAAGATTAGAATCAATGCCTGTCGACCTGTGCCTCGCCCTGACCTCTGGCTACTCTTGAAACTGCCTCTACGTGGCTAACTGTTTTCTTACTTCTTTCAGACGTTCCACGCGTCGCTACGTACACACCACCGAACTACCCCAATTCCATCTCGTAGCACAAGCAAATAGCTCTCGTTGACACTGGACTCGCATACATACTACGTACTATGTAGATCATCGTCCGTTATCATTTCATCTTCTAGATACCCCTTCATCTTTACTAGAGCCTCTTTTTCCAAGTTGTCCCTCGATCGTGGCAGACCCTCAGCGGCCTTCAATTCAATGTGTTTGTTGGAGGTCTTTATCATGCCCCACTGATTCCTGCCGGATTCCGGTCATTCCTGTGGAATCCGGCGGAATCCAGAGGAATCAAATTTGGCAGAGACACCAGCCAAAATGACATTCCGGGGGACAAATATTCCTCGGGAATGATGTCATTCCTGATTAGTAGCCGGAATGGTCCCCGGAATGGACAAAAAGGAATGACACCAGAATGCAATGACCGGAATTTACATTACTAATCAATAATATTAATAAACATTAATATGCCAATGCCCAAATCGAGCCTTGGCGTTTGCCGACATTTGATTTGGCATCATCCACACTCACCCTCTTCTTCCTCACCCACCACCATCATCAACGACACCCATCCAACGGACGACGACGACACGTCAATGGACGACGACGACAACGGACGACAACAACACGCCAACGGATGACACGACACGTCAGCGGACGACGATGACGATGACGACGGACGACGACACATCAGCGACGACAACGACAATGGCCACGCGTCGACGGATGACAACGGCGACACGTCAACGGATGACACGACACGTCAGCGGACGACGACGACGATGGCCACGCGTCAATGGACGACAACGACGACACATCGACAGACGACAACAACAACGGACAATGACGGTGACACGTCAACGGACGACACGACACATCAGCGGACGACAACGACCGACGACGACGACGGCCACGCGTCAACAGACGACGATGGATGACGAGGACGACGACACGTCAACAGACGACGACGACGGATGACGACGATGACACGTCAACGGACGACGAAGATGGCCACACGTTGACGGACGCCGAGGACGATGACCACGTCAACCGACGTCGTCGACGAGCCCCCTTCCTTTTCCCTCCCCCCTTCCTTTTCACTCCCCCTTCCTATTCCCTCTCCCTTCCTTTTCACTCCCCCTTCCTATTCCCTCTCCTTTCCTTTTCACTCCCCCTTCCTATTCCCTCTCCCTTCCTATTCACTCCCCCTTCCTATTCCCTCTCCCTTCCTATTCACTCCCCCTTCCTATTCACTCCCCCTTCCTATTCCCTCTCCCTTCCTATTCTCTCCCCCTTCCTTTTCTCTCCCCCTTCCTTTGTCCTCCCCCTTCCCTGTCCCTCCCCTCCCTCTTCCCCCTTCTTTATCCATCCCCCTTCCCTTTTCCCTCCCCCTTCCCTTTTCCATCCCCCTTCCCTTTTCCATCCCCCTTCCCTTTTCCCTTTTCCCTTGCCCATCCCCTCCCTCTCTAGTATACACTGCATGTAATTAAATATATTTTGTATTATAATTGAAATACATCATTTTTTGTGTAGTTCTATCAAATACACTTTGATTTTCCCTATTCAAGTCTAAATATCATAAGGAATTCTTAGGATTAAGTTGTGAAATATACATTTTAGGCCTTCCTGTGACATTCCTGTGCCATTCCTGTCCATTCCTGTGGATTCCTGTGCCATTCCTGTGGATTCCTGTGCCATTCCTGTGGATTCCTGTGCCATTCCTGTGGATTCCACTGGAATCTGGTGGAATGCAGGAATCAGTGGGGCATGACGAAGTACTGTGTTTTAAAGCCAGTAGACATGTTAATAAATTTACTGATTCAAAATTTTAAAATATTAGCCTAAAGACCGGTCATAGACCGGTTAAAACTGGTGCAGATGGAAACCGGTGATATGCGTTGCACAGGGATGACCGTGAAAGTGCGAAACACATGAACAAGGATCAAGTGCATCGGGAAAACCCTAAACACCTAAACACTCACACACACACACACACACACACACACTATCACAATCTCAGTGCACGAGTTCGAGGGCCTTTGGTATTAAGAAATACCACTTTTGTCTTCTTAGGTTTAAGTCTCAAGAGATTTCATCTCAAAACGGGTTTTTATTATAAGGTGTGGTTTAGAATAGTTCAATAGAACAAAGTATGTCTTTCTGGGAACTTGGTCTCTTAAATGCAAAGTTCTTTGATCACAGTTTCTTTTATTAACACAAAACACGACTTCAATTGACTTTTATGACTCCTGTGAGTTTTTATTATGTCACTATGCTCCAAAACCAAGGGTACGAGTACGCTGTCTCATCTAAATGATACTGTGTTTTTAAAACCTCTTATTCAAAAGTCTCCAAGTAAGTTGACTCCCAAGCATGCTGGCTTCGTTCACACTGTACTTTTCTGACCACGAAGAAATCTCCTTTAATTGATTACAACTGTCCACCTCCTAAGTTCCTACTTGGAGTGCAACTAGCTGGTCAACGGGGGGCGATTGCTTGCCTTTTGACCTGCCAGCGCGCTCCTTATATACTCCAGGAACCCCTATCTACGTTTTACATGTGTTTTAATGCGGGATACTTCGGTCCGAATTACAAATATGAAATTTAATGAACGTGTGGTATATTTTGTAGTCTATCTCTGTGAACACTACAGATTTTGTAGTGTCGCGTCTTTCATTTTCAAACGCATCAGTGTTTGATGCGTATGCGGAGTTAGCCGACGTAGCTATTCTTAGCTTGGCATGATCTCACGTGTTTCTTTCTATGGCCCGGTTTACCGGTTTGAATCCCTCTTTCAACAATGCTCCACGCTATGACTGTGTAATGGTGAAGATGTCAACTGCATCAGATGTCTTCATATTTGCCCGCCTCATTTTCATCTTCACATTCACACTGGCAGACACACTCTATCCTTTTGCACTAGTTCACCCATTAGATGGACCAACAGGACTTTTGAAGCGAAAAGAGCGGGACCTTGGCCTTATCCATCTTCGTGCTAAACACCGTCATGAGGCAGAGTTTATTCCTGTTGGCTCCATCATTTGGGGTGCATATATTGTTCCAGAATTTGAGAAACCAGATGAGTATCACATTGTTGACACTGTCAATACAGATATGTTTCTCCGACTGCGAAGGGTTGAAGCCTACCAGTTTCTAAACCACTAAATTCAATATATATATGAAATAGTAATGTAGAAGGAATATGCAATATTGAGACGGATAGAAAATATAAGATTATGATAATGTTTTGACCCCGAGAAGCCGACAAGAGTGAAGGGGGTGACAGATGACAGAAATGATGAGAATCTTATCTTTGAGATCATGTGATGTAATCACTCTGTCTCTTCACTAATCCGCGGAGCTCTCCCACTACTTATCATCGAAGCAATCTCACAAGAGTTCAACGATGCCCCTTTCCAGCTAGCATACACATCTTACCCCACATTTGAACGTCCCTCCGCACAAACAAGAACTTGGGGGATATTAAGATCTTATCAAAAAGTTCATGAACGTCGCGAGGGAGGCAAGAAGAGGAGTCGAGATTCTATTCCCGCAAAGGTTTTTGCGGCACATGGGAAGCTCATGGAATGGGTGAGGTATGCGAGGAATCAGCATGAGCAATAATGCGTCCAACGAGTGCGTCTCATCTCATGTCGAGGCCAAAGTCTTCAGGATAGACTTGACATGGCACGCAATGTGTAGGATCTTATATGCTTTTTGTTAGGTCAAAGGTACATGCTCTCCTTGCCTGTCTACCCACTGAACGACACTCATGTAGATTTGCCGTAGGATACAGGAGTGCAGAATTAGCTTATCGATTTGGTAAACGATTCGAGGTCGTTAAGCACTCGCATGACATGGTACCCTCCTCCCTCTTCCCATTCATTTCCAACTGCTCACCTACTTAACTACCAGTTCAAACCCCAATACCGCTTCTCCGAAGGCTGCTCAAATGCGTGTCCTACAACGCACAATTTAGAGTTTTTCAAACTGTTCCAAAACAATATGCACCCCTCCTGGCCTCAAGACGACGTATCATCCTCCGCAAAACAGTCCGACACCACCCTCCAGCTTCCCGAACCCTTCCTCCTCACCATCGGTCTCCCATGCAACAAGACGAAGTATTTTCATCCGCTAAACACGCTCCCTACGTGGTGGCAAGTGTTCAGACCCTTCCACAACGTCATGCACCCCTCTTGGCGTCAAGACGACGTATTGTCTTCTGCCAAACGGTCCCACGTCACCCTCCTACTTCCAAAACCTTTCCACCATGCCACGACGTTGAGACGATGTATCGCTGTCCGCTAAACACCCTCCCTGAGTGGTAGCAAGTGTTTCTGACCCTTCCACAACATCCTGCACCCCTCCTGGCCCCAAAACAACATATCGAGTTCCGCAAAACGGTCCCACATCACCCTCCTGCTTCCAGAATCATTCCACCTCGCCATGGCGTTGAGATGACGTGTCGTCGTCTGCCAAACACCCTCTCGATGTGTGGGTTGCCTTTGGATGCTGGATGGGATGGGTTGCAATTGAGAACCTGCAAAAGGCAAAGATAAAAAGGTTTTTCAGTATTTCAACACCATACACACGAAAAAGAACTCACCTGTTTCATTTAGAGTCATCCCAGCCCCGTTTTGCGTTGACGCAATGTATCAAAGTCTGCCAATTGCTATCGGGGCACAACGTGGTGCTCCCAGGACTCGGTTGTGTTTTCCGTTAATGACGAACGACTATGCACCAACAGTTAATGAAGATACGGCAAAGGGTTCGACATACCTTTGTTATTCAATTTTTTCTTCACTTCGCCACGTCACCGCCTCCCATCCAGCTCTCCAAGGCTCGCCACGACGTATCGACATCCGCCAAACGTGTTTGGGACATTGTTGACGTTCTTGAAATCAGTCGCATGTTGTAGCTTTTGGGTAAAGGTAAGTTGTATGCTGCTTTGAGTTATGAGGTGATTACTTACTTCTTTTAAGGTCGTTTACGTGCATTACCTGCTCCCGAAGGTTCCCCGGCCTTTACAACGTCACCAAGTATGCCCTAGCCACCCTCAACGCAAGTCTGTCTTCGAGTTGCGGCGTGTTTACTGTCAATCTTCCAAGTAAGTCGTTAGTTTCCATTGTTATGCAAGTTCATGGACTTACATTTCACCTTTAGCCGCTTCAACACGTTACTGCCTTCAATCCACCTTTCCAATGCTCAACACGACATATCGAAGTCCGCCGAACGCGTTGGGACGTCATTGACCTTGTTGAAATCAGTTGCATGCTGTAGCTTTTGGATAAAGGTGAATTTCACATTTTTTTGCATCATAAGGCGATTGCTTACATGTTTGAAGGTCGTTTATGTCCGTTACCAGCTCCCAAAGGTTCCCCAGCCTTTGCAATGTCACCAACTACATCAACTACACCCTGATCACCTTCAACGCAAGTTTCATCGAGTTGTACTGTTGATCTTCGAGTCGTCGTCCGCCCAACACCCTCTCTACATGCTGGCAAGTTTTTTCGACTGTTCCACAGTGTCTTGCATCCCTCCTGGCCCCAAGACGACATTTCGTCTTCTGCAGAATGGCCCCATGCCACCCTCTATCTTCCGGAACTCTTCCACCTTTCTATGGCTCTCTGAGGCTTCAAGACGATGTATCGCCGTCCGTGAAACACCCTCTCTATGCATGGGATGGCAATGGTAGGCATTGAGACCTTCGGAAAGACAAGAAAAAAAAGGGTTGGTAGGTGTTTCAAGACCCAAAGGATGAAGAGGTCCTTACCAAGTAAAGCAGAGGATAGAACTGCTCCATCTCCGACGGCGAGATGTCGAAGAAGCTCTCGTAGAGCCTGAGCTAGTGTTGACACTGCGAACGCACAAATTTCTGACTCGGAGCCTGTCATGACTTCACCAAACACACCACTTGTCCCACAAACTCTGCTGCCTCTCCCACTCAACGCATTTGCAAACCTTCGCGCTCAGTTGGCTACCCCAAACAAGCCAGCCATTCACACAATCAAAGCAATGAACGTGCTGTGGACCCACCACCATCATTGCCTCAAACCGAGCGTGAAACTGAGCCCCCTGAACTTGATGTCGAAGGGTGTTAGTGGAAGAGGAGGATGTTGAAGACCGGATTCCCTCCCTACCACTACCCGTGAACAATTCCTTGCCAGGCACCTCTCCTCAATGGTATTCTCCTCATATCGCTTCGCTACGGACCCCTCAATTTTCAAATCCTCCTTCAAACGGATCATCGTAGAAGCGAGGAACGCGCAGATGCATGATCAGGACTTGACACCCTCCCTCCATTTCTTCCTCAATTCCTACAGTCATGCTCTTTGAGCCCTTGGGGACTGCAACTGTGAGTGCTTGCATGGCTGGCGGCATGCAGACTGTAGTTGGCTCACATCAACGGCCGCTTATCCGATCCTGCTTTGTGGCCCGGAGTTCCAGCCTCATTGATTTCATGCAGCACATATGATGCCCGAGTGTCCGACGCAACCGGTGTTAATTTTAAATCGGCACGAGTGTCAATATTTATTACCTCTCCCAGATTCAACCTGTCCACAGTATTGGTAAGGTCTTTTAACCTGAACAATCTGTTGGTAGGTGCAAGTTTCCAATCAATGCAACTAACTAAAAAAACAGATCTTTCTATCCATTTGAAAGAGCGGGGTTAGAGTGACATGCAGAACAATGTAGTACGTCTTGTTTATTTCTGTCCCTGCTCATCGTTGCTTCAGATTTACGTAGTACCATGCTTGGCACGCTATTACATGGCAGTGCATTTAATACACTCACCAGCCATGCAAGTCAACGGTGAATAACTCAAAAATACCGATGCCTTGCTGCAAATTACGTCAAGATATCAATAAATATCAAACCTCGCTCAAATTTCAAACTTCCCCATTGACGACTCAAGCTCACCTTCACGCTTACACCGCTGACGGACTCCTTTCGGTATGCCTCACCGCCAACTCCAACCTCCCAGCTCCAGTGGCGAAGAGTTTGATGCTCCATCCAGCGGATCGTCGAGTTCGGATGAGTCTGACCCCGAGAATGATCTCCTATCTCGCGGTGGAACGGCACACCTCTTGACTATCAGCTCAAATCCAACAAGAGAAGAGTATGACAAGGTTCATACTCTCTTTGTATCCAAAGTTCTACGTTCACTGGAAAGTTTAGGCTTTAAACAAAGCACAGTTATTGTGTGGCAAGTGTGATAAGGAGGTTCGTCAACTTCGTGAAGAGTTGGCGACAATCAAAGTCAACCAGCCGAAGCGCTTGCGACATAGTCAAGGCAACAGTGGGTATCCTCAAGTTATTGCAAACACAAAGAGGAGATCGCATCAATTGGTCAAATGTTCAGCCTTACCTGCGAACTGTTCCTTCCGGACAACTACAATACAGTCGTTACTAACAGTTCTCGTCCCCAACAGAGTCTCATCAACAGCCCCCAGAGATATGTTACAAAGGCGGCTGAGGAAGCTGGCATCTTATCGGAAATATATGAGACGGTTCCCGAACGCTTTCACGGTTTGATGAGGGAGCACAGTCAATTCGGTGTCTTAGTGAGTTTTACAAGTCTTTTACTTCACGCAACAATTCTGATGATATTTGTAGTTTTGCAATAAACACCATAAGGTTCGCTCAACGTTTCTCAAAGAGCTTCACGACAAGATCATTCCGAAGATATTTGGTGCCGAACTTCGTGATGTTGCGAATCAAATCGGTGCTAGTCACGCTGCCAAGCGGGCAAGCAACAATGACTTCCAGGAGCTTCTGCATTGGGACATGGCACAGAATAAGTACCCCAAGTTCGCTCCTGTTTTATATGCTGCCTGAGAGTCAGATGGATGCCGTATCGATGATCGAATGAAAGTTTTCATGAACCCACAGCTTGTTTTGGTAAGCCTTCAATTACATCGTTGTATGCTGGATCGCTCACTCGCTATCAGGCTCTCAAAGGTTTATTGACTGGCACTGCCTCAATTACAAAGGTCGGCAAATACGCAAAGCCGAAAACGCGTGCCACCTTGTGGGGGCTTCTTGGTGTGACGCCTGGTTCTATTGCCGGCATCGCCATTCTGGTACGTTTTAAACTCCTTGCGAACTATGTAACTTTTTAATTGGTTTCTTCCTTTCAATAAGGTTCATTTCATCTTCTCTCCTGATCTGAGCTTTCCGCTGGGAAGGGAGCTGTGACTGGTATCGACTATGGGAAAGATTTTACCTTGTACAAGATGTTTATCATCCAGAAACTCAACACTCCATATGGGAAAGTGCTATTCGACCTCTACAATCAAATTATCTTTGGATCGGCTACGGTGAATACAATCGCGAATGATCCAGGAGATGGGGACGAAAGCAGTGGCATCGAGGATGCAACCAATCAATTCCACACACTCTCCCTTGCCTCTCCTGAACTTGCTACTCATGGAAATATCGAACAAGTCGCCCTCGACACTCTTCCCACCAGTTCTAATGCCGAACAAAGAATCATCAGCGCCGGACCATCGCAGGAGCACAGCCCTAGCAATCTGGCGTCTGTCGCACAGGAACAGCCACTTTCAACAACACGTCATGCAGCTCCATCTACGTTGGTCACGCCAGAAGCCAGGGTTGTAGAGAAGTCAAAAAAAGGGAAGGCAAGGGAGAAGGGAACTGTTCAGGACACAGCGGCGGAGGTTGTTGAGGCTGTACTAGGTACTCGCAAGCCTCGCAAACAATGCACACGCAAAACTTAGTCACCACTGTCTGTAGTTATGGATGCCTTCAATCTCGTTTGTTCACTGTTATGTTCATCATGCACATGTAAGGTGTGAAGTGCATCGGTGTGCTTTAAGTTTAAGGAGCTCTATATACTGCTTGAGAACCAATTGCTCATTATGTTAACCCAATTTATATAGTAAATATATGACCCGCTGGCATAGTGGTAACTATCGATCACTAACCAAAGGTAAGTAGACCATAAGCTCAAGAGTTCGAATCCTGGCTAATGCAATATAGAATAAATAGAACTACTAAGTAGAATAGAATAGAATAGAGAATAGACACAAGTAAGTACAATACAATAGATAGAAAACAATACTACAAAGTAGAATAGAATTAAATAGAATAGCCTACGACCACTAAGCACAATACAATACAATAGAATAGACGACAACATTGAATAGAATTAGGGACTACAAAATATATAGTAGACTACAAAAAACTAGACTACAACTTTCTCATCGCTTCACGCTTACAATACGGTTGTGATCATAGTACATGTTGTTGAAATTTGGTTAGGACTTGGTTGAAACGATGGTTTGAATATGGTTTCAATCAACCACTCTTCGGTTGTAACCGGTCCGAACGGCCACCAGTGATTGCATTGGTTGGAACCAGCAGTAACCGGCTGTAACCAATATTAGAAAACTCCGACAAAGGGGTGGATGACTGTAGTTCAACCAGACCGCTAACAAAAAATTGAGAATGGTCTCCTGTCACCGATAGCAAAGTCTTGGTCCACCACTCTCTGCCGTTCAAGAGACTTCACTAGTGTTTGGAAGTCCGGTCTCGTGACTGGAAAAAGACTGTAACCAGACCGGACCAAGACCGCAAAAGACCGGACCTGCGGTTATGGTCTTTTATTTTTGAAATGTAAAGACCGCAAAAAAACTGGTTAACGTGAACCGGTCTTGACCGGTTTGGACCGGTCTTTTGTAGCCCCTTAAATATCCTTTAAAACGCACCCAAGAACGTACGATTTGGTAAAAAAACGAGAGAGATATGAATTAAAATGTAAATTACTTTTGGGAATAATAGATGTACCAGACTTATTTTATAGAAGCACCAATTCCTAACGGAATTTAACGTTCTTGGGCTCGTTTTGAAGCTATTAGAGATGTTAATAAATTTACCGATTCATAATTTTAAAATATTGGCCTAAAGACCGGTCATAAACCGGTTAAAACCGATGCAGACCGAAACCGGTCTATAGACTGCAAAAAACCGCGGTCTGTGGTCTTTTTGCGGTCCAGTCTGGTCTTTTGACTTCTGGGGAAAAGGCAGACCGGTTACGGTTACGGTTAACGCCCCTGGGCATCAAAAAACCGGACCGAACCCAGGCTCCTAAAAGCAGCCACTCGTCTCGCTCGATGAGCCTCTAATACTATTAGCTGTATGACTAATCTTATGATGTGATCATTGATGGGAGTGAACAAATAAACAAAGGTAAGGGCTCGAGCTCGCGAGAGAGCGGCTGCCGGAAAAGTCAGTCGGGGAGCTCGGAGATCATTGATTAACCCTAACGTTGGGTCCCAACTCCAAGGCCTTTCTGGACCTGCGTGACAGATCTTTGTTTGGACTTGGGGCTCGAACCCAACAGCGAAATGGGTATGGAGTACTCTACGATGAAAGGTCCAGAACTGTGCTGCAGCAGAACCACAATAATATACTCATCATGCCCAGTCTCCAATGTGGACATTTCACCAATGTCA